GATTCCATTTTCCGCCGAACGACCGTCGGGAATCAAACTTCCCGTCTGCGACGGAGCGCGTCGTCGTCGTCGCCCCGCGCGATCTAATTCGGTTAGTCGTTTTAGAAGGGCACCTCTGTTGGTTACCGAGCGGAGAATCGCAATTATTCCTGCGATCACAGAGATAGTAGCGGCTGATCGGTAGCTGACTCGTTAGGTTAGACGAAAGACACGTTACGCGGAAAGTTTCACAACAGTCAATTTCCGCGACAGGTTGATCGGTATCGCCGGGACACTCGCCTCGCCGACTTCCGCGATTCAAGGCTCGAGAACGTCTGAGAAAAACAGCACGGGGGGAAATTCCATCGCGGTGAAGTGTCAGCAAGTGACGTAAGCATACACGATTGAGATAATCGAGGGCAATTGACCGAGTAGAAACTTTATATAGGAATTTCCCTTCCTTCTTACAGCCGAGTTTTCGTCCGGTCTCCAGGCAACAGGAAATTCAGCCACACGAACTGAATTTTCTTTCTTCGTGTAGTTACAGCTTTATATTCGTGTGCAGTCGCGGCCTACAGCTGCTAAGAGCCGCAGTTTATTAATTATCCCGTTCATCCTGCTCGTCCGCCCCTTTCGTGTAGACGCACTTTTCTTTCGGGCGTTTTTCGCGCGTCAAGTTCCCGCCACGGAGGCTCATCGAACCGTCACCGTTGAGGCAAACAATGGCTAAGTACTAGAAGGGGGGCCGATAGGACGGGGGTTGTTAATTAAGTATCGACCTGTCGACAGGAGTAATACATAATTACGATGTATTCTTCGTTGCTCGTCGGGAGGGAGAGCTTTTTACCCTCCCCCCTCCCCCTCCTCTCCTAGCCGCATGGTTCTCTCCTAACACGGCGGCGAAGACTAATCAATTTTCCATTCACCGGCAGCCGCTGATGGATGACTTACGATCACGTCGGGGTTTTAATAAATCAACATCCGTCGCCTCTATCCGGGTCTGTCATCAGTCTTCTTAGGGGTTGACCTCGCGTCGAAGAGACGCGCTGGTAGCGCTAGGTAGGCGCAAAATCGCCGTCCCGCGGACCAGCGCGCGTTCGCCGCTGTCGAGCGCGTCGGTCGCGAGGATCGATCTATCGTCCGAACCGAGGATCGACGGGGGGAGGGGGGAGTCGTTGGTTTATCCGGGTGATCGGACGATTTCCTTCGATACGAGGGAGTAACGAGATATCGGGCCTCGTCCGGAGGTATGGCAGAGAGGGTTGGATATAGAGGTATGTGACACATATACAGGGTGACTGACAATTTCTGACGTAACGCTCGGTGTATAGATACATTGAGAGAAAAAATATCTAAAATATAAAAAATATTTATTCGAAGGATATTAACAACATATATATATATGTTATTTCGAATATATATTTCTTTCGGTGTGAAACAGATCAAACAGAAAAGGAAAGTCACATATCGTTTTATAAATTTCGCAATGGTTAATGAGAAGTTAATTATATGTATATGAATGAATGAACGCATAAAAAATGGTGAAACAGACTTTGTAGACATGTATAAAAAAAGATGTAAGAAGAACGGCTTAATTCTTAAGATCTCCTAGCAACGATGAGTATCAGAGCCTATAATGTCGATCCCATCGCATTCATTCGCTCATATTGCTCAATTAATTCCTAACTATCGCAAGATTGGCGAAACATGACTTTCCCGTTCAGTTGGCCCGTTCTACCTGCACATGAGCGTTACGTCGAAAATTTTCGGACACCCTATACATGTATGAGCACGTCTATATGTGGAGCGCAATAAGTAAAAGAGGGATTTAATATATCTGAGAAAATCATGAAGCACGAAGTGGACTTTATATTTCCTTTATAGCATCCAGGCTGTAATATCCTGCGATATATCTGATCTGCTCGTAAATTTCCGCGGAAGAAAGTGGCCAGAGAGAGGAGGACGGGAACGTGGCGGACAATATATACGTCGCTTTCTTATTAACCGCTTCTTTCTTCGCGGACGGATGATGGAAAGACGTAACGGAGAATTTCCCGGGCTATTGATTCGTATCGATAACGCACGTCGGGTGATAATTGCGCGCCGTGTATCATAGGGTGAGATAATAACCGGTAGGTAACCAAACGACCCGTCATTTTTCCGAGCTCGATCTTGAAAGGGCGCCCCTGCACTATGGAACGGATGAGAAACATACGCCCGACGAAGAACAGACGTACGCATATATAACATATATATATTATGGATCGTATCACAAAAATAGGAGATCGGAAAAAAGTAATTATACGACTTATAGTCTGACTTATAGCTGAGAGAAATCAGCCTATTAGTGTCAGGGAGAGTATTGGTGCTTTAAGAATAATCGTAAGTCGCGAAAGGTAATACCGACATTATTAGAATTTCAAATAACTTCACAAGCATGGCTTTGTTCCGACAATATAGCGAAGTACTCCTCACGCTCGCCGATTGGAATATAGATAGATAAAAGCGCTCATTTTCGTTCTGGTTACCTGCACTTACGAGCGTTTAATAAATTAAAAAGGAAAAATATACATATTTATGTGAAAGTTGAAATACCAGAGAAAAGTAAAAGAATATCTTAATATGTAATATCGTAATAAGAGAGTCTAAAGAGCATGGTGAAACAGCGGCTAGGGGACATTATCTCCAAAATTCCGATGACGACGGCGGACTTTTTCGGTTTTTATCCGACGAATTAGCGATAGGTAATCGCACCCCGCTTCATTTCACTCCAAACGCTGATCCTGAAGGCCCGGAAGGTATTACCGTCAGTGCCACGAAGGGACAAACGTCGGGTGTGGCTTATCTGAACGGACGAGTGGTTTCACCGGAATTTGCTTGTAACCGCTCGTAGCCGCAGTGCACGCTGGTTCAGCATGTTGAAGTCGCGCGTGTATAGTAATTACTTAACGAAGTAAATACGATTACACGTACACACACACACACACACGCGCGTCCCAGAAATATTTGTCGTATCCGAGCCCACGTTGAGACAGCAGGAAATAATCGTACTGAAAATTGCATCGACAAAGTAAAAGTATCTTTAATACAATACGAGTATTTTTGGATTTATCCGTTGAACAGCAGAGAGATGTAATACATATTATGTAACATATATATATTATGGATCGTATCACAAAAATAGGAGATCGGAAAAAAGTAATTATACGACTTATAGTCTGACTTATAGCTGAGAGAAATCAGCCTATTAGTGTCAGGGAGAGTATTGGTGCTTTAAGAATAATCGTAAGTCGCGAAAGGTAATACCGACATTATTAGAATTTCAAATAACTTCTCGAAAAAAAAACCTTTTTCTTTCGCAGCAGCAGATCCGACAGATTTGTCTGTATAAGTGACGTGCACGAGATTTTCTGCTTCACGTACTGACCTAGTTTGGACCCGGCTTGTTTTACCTCATCCCTTTGGGCGTCTCGAAATATTCATTGGGAAAACTTGTTAATTCCCGTATACGATCCGAATATCGTCAGAATAATTAAACGAGTAATTAATAATATCGTCATTGATACCAAGAAATGTGAGCCAAAACGAATAGTAATTAAATATATAATAAAAGTTTTGTCCTATATTTTTTATATTTAGCGTTCTTGAAATGAAATTTGATCGTCAAATATGTACAGTATCTTATATCGGATCGGAAAAATTTCCATCCTGGCGCATCAGAAAATAAATGTTAAATCACGTCACGGGAATTAACAAATTTTACTGTGTTCCACAATGTTTCAAAATAGTATTGCTATGGACTACTGAGTGGACTACTAAGATTCTACATGAAATGTTGAAAGAAGTTTCGTGCATTTCAAGTCAGACGTTAAATGATACATTTCTTGTTTTATTTCCGACTAAATCCATTTGGTTTTCGTCACATAAAATGACTTTTACATCAACATGTTCGTTTACCAGGATTTATTTAGAAAATTGTCCCCAAAGATTATCTCGCGTTTTTCCTCTTTTTAGGTTACACGTAACTGTGTCGATCAGATTTAGTGATGACATGAAAATTGAAAAAAAAAAGTTTTCTATCACATATGCACGACGCTGGCTAGCGAATGTGTCGAACGCATTCTGAAACCTTTTCTACTGTCATTCTCTCAGGAAAACCGGAAAACGAGCGGAGGGATTGTCCCCGAGATTAATTCGCGTTAATACCGCGAAACGAAGTGGTTCTAAATCAAACGTGTGAGAAAATTCGAAATTCACTCAATCTTGGAGCGCTAATTTCACTATCGATTATACACCTGCCTTCTATCGATCGTCCAATTTAGCCGGCAGGAGTGCCGTACTAAGACGTCTATGGTGGGTACATAATGGGGCAAGTACGTGGCACGTAGTACGTGCCACGTAGCCGGCTTATCAGAGGCGCGCAGAGGGATGCCCAGGGCAGGCTTATCGACTCAGCGGCTTGACAGGCTTCCACGTCCTTTCCCACCTAGTAGGTGGAGCGTCGAAAGATGATGAGCACCGATCGAAGGACCCCCGAGACCTTTGGCGGCTTTCTCTTGGGGGTGGGCATGCGGTAAGCCTCTGTACGAAGTCGTTGGTGCGTCGTGAGGTAAGAGGAGATAGCGCGGCTGGCCTTCGCTGACCGATATTACGTGCTTAAGAAGCTCACGGCCATTGCCCGATATCGCGACAGCGGTAAACAGAACCTCCCTTTCTCTCTTATCGGTTGTTCAGGGTTACATGTCGTACGGGATGTGTGAAAAAAAATACATTTCTCTTTCTGGCGTTTTCTCATTCAAGAGATTCGGATCAAAATTGTTATTTTCTCATTCTGATAAACTTGTCAAGTGACATGTCATTCGACATGTCGCTGTCCACGAATACTCCACGTAATAATACGTGTCCACGAATATCCATGTAATTCGGAAAGAAAGACACAAATGATAGGTAAATTGTCAATATAGGGCAATGTGAGAATAAAGTGACATATTTTCTTGTGTTAGTGTAGACGTGATACTCACAAGTTGTAGTGCACATCCGCCATGTTCGGTCGATAACGAAGCGCTTGAACGAAAGCTTCCTCCGCTTCGGCTACTCGCCCCTGCTCGCTGAGAACGCTGCCCAAGTTGCCATAAGCTGCAAGCAACATAAGTCATATTCGATTTTGCATTCTACGTTATTACTTGGTGAAACGTTAAAGATTAATGGGCTCGGGTCGGTGTGGTCGTGCATGGGTCAATGGTGGCGTGATACAAACAGACGGATGAATGTCACAATATTTTTCACGCACATTGTAGCAGATGTGTATTTAAAAAATGGCCATGTAGAGACTTCTTTAATTTATAACTCAATAGTTCCTTTTTTTCTTAATTTCTAAAAGTCATCTATAAAACGACGTTTGAAATGAGAATATTCCTTTAACACTTTGCGGTCCGCGGCCCACCCGAAGACGCTTGACTAATGTGTTCGAACTTCCCGAAGGCATAATACGAAAGTAGCCACGCTTATTTGGTTGCTTTTCTTCTTATACAAATATTACTATCTAAACAACTATTGAACTTAACGTATTCAAAAAACTTTTATCGTGAAATTCATTTTTTTCTCTATTATTAAACATCATAAAAGTTAACTTTTCTGTGAGAGCTTTACTTTCTGAGACCATCCAAATCATGGTCTATTTTGAGCTGGAAGAAAGTCAAACATAGATACTATCGATTTTTTAAGTGCATAAATTATATCAAGAGGATTAATAAAAGAATAGAAAACATATTTCTCTTCTCGTTTACATGTGCTTGCAAACATTGTTTTTTTCTCCGCGGATATAAATTAATATTCTCATCGTCTGATGATTCTGACGAGATTCGTCTCACGACACGTCGACGAAATATCGCTAATACATCATCTATGACCGTATAATATGAAACAAAATAATATAAAATACGGCATAATACGAAACCAACCAATAGATAAATAAACAAATACAATTAGAGAACACGTGTACGATTGATAAATAATAAATCAATGACTGATTGTAAGAGGCGTATTTACCTTCTACATCTTGAATTTCTTTATCTGAAGAAAAATCTGCGTTAGGTAACATTTTTTGCTTTTCCTCAGCTCACAATAGTATTTACACTGTTAAGATCTGTCGATCGACTAGAATCGAAAGACTATTCATATGTTTCGCATGTTGTCAATTGCTTAAAACCGTATGTGTTTCGATTTATCGATAAAACCAATGTTGTCGGATCGCGACGGCACAGTGCCGTCGACCGACCGGTACGTCGAAACGTGCGCGACGGCATCATGTCGTCGACGGACCGCAAGGTGTTAATGAATGACGCACAGGTGGACCGACATCGTTATATTTATAACGCGCATTATTGCAGACGTACGCAGAAAGAATATGGGTGGTTTTCGAAAAATTCGAGAAATTCGGGGCAACGAAAGAGAGAGAACGGTTGTCGGTTTCCGTGCAGAATACGCCGCTAGAATAGCCGTGGTAATTGTTAACGGATGGCATGATGTGCAGGTGTGAAATACGCTTTACGCTTTCGGTGTTAATTATTATCCCAGCGGCAATTACTTGAGAATTATCGCGATCAAGATACGCCCGCCCATCATTTCTCTGCTTACGTGCTCGCTCCCGCTACACGGCTTGTAGTTGAATATTCAACTCGTTAAATGATCAGCAGGAAGTACCCGGGAACATGGTTACATGCTGCGCGCACGCACGCCGCGTCCATATAGATTACCCCTCCAGACACCGGGGCTAATATTTTCGTCGTTATTCCACTTTCGGGCGCCGTTATGTAATATTACCTCAAGTGCCGCTTGCAAAAAGCAATTCTCGCGGCACTCTCTGCCGATACTAATTCTGACGAATGCGGGATCTCGAAAGCGGAATTATTTCTACGAAATCGGCATCCAATGGTGAAACGCGGATCATGCAGTGAATAAAACGCACGTGAGTGACGTACTCCGGCGCACTGTTATCGGCCGATCCAAATGGAATTCATCGCGACTTTATTAAATTTACATATTTGCACAATTGATGACTTTAATCATATACTCGTTTCGGCTTTCGTCATTTTGCGCGCCGAGCGCATCTCCGAATAATCACTCGTGCAAACATCCACCGGAATAACGAAAATGTCCGAACGTGGCGGGTTTAAGCTTCCTCATCGGCTTTATCAGACGCACGTGCCTAATCGTAAACGACGCGTCATCGCCGCAGCTGACCACCGCACGATAGTCTAAAATAGATATTCCTTAGCCAAAGCTCACTTTTTAACCTGTCACCTCAAGCTGACGTAAATACAATTTTATGGTGTCTTATAGTCGAATAATAATAAGATATTTATTATTCATTCATTATTCTTTTATCGGTAATGATGCTGAAATAACGTTCGCTCAAGATAACCTTTAGCTACATCTGTCAAAATTGTGCTATACATTAGATTATTTGAATAATGATGCGTGTAGCAGCATTAAATATATTTAATATGCCAAAGAAACGCATGCCACGAAGTAAATAATTTCACATTTAGTTCTTATTTCGGAAATGAGACAATAATTGAATTTGTGGCTGATATAAATGTGATCTTGGAAATAAATGTCACAATGGACAAATATTTTATTAAGAAAACAAAGAAAAATTACTACTCCCGGATTAAGCGTTAAAAAGTATCCCCCTCCCTCCGCCCCCGACGTTACGATTTGCCGGATACCACGTGAGTTAAATCAACAAGCAGTCGTCACTCGTGGATGACGGTGGGTGACATCGTGCCGACTCGGAGAAGAGAAGAGGAGCGACGCGTGCATCTCTGCGGGGCGCGCATTGAACGCGATGGAAGGGCAACGGGGGTCGTCCGGCAAACACGCGAGCGAGAACGCGCGAAAGGGGAGCCAGCGAGCGAGCGTCGACGGCCTGAACCAACAAAATGTAAATTTATTTCTCGTAGCGGAGCAGCCTGTTAACACGGTAACACGCAATTTCTGTCGGCGCAATTAAAACGCGCTGTGACGTCGCCGCTGGCACCGGTGGTAGCGCGTTGTGTCGACGTCAGCTCGCGTGACCGCCCGTTCCTGCAAGCCCCCGCCGTTCTCTCTCTCTCTCTCTCTGTCCCGCGCCCGTTCGCTCTTTCTCGCTCGTCTGCTCTTTTTGCGGGGAGCATTAAAAAAATGAGCAGCGCGCGGGGATGAATGGGTATTTCGCGGAGGGGGCGAAGTGGCGAGATTGTCTCGCGAGAGAGCGACGAACGAAAATGTCGGATGCGGAATTAAGGCCCGAGCAGCTTGGGCTTGTTAATTAAAAGAGAGAGAGAGGGAGAGAGAGAGGAGGGGAGGGGAGAGGGAGAGAAGAGAAAAAACGTGGAAAATATGGAAATGAGGTCCCTTGCGGAGCGCAGCTCTCGATAAAGGTGTACGTTTCCATTTGCCTTGATCTAAATCGAGTTTCGAGACCTTTTCCAAATTCTAACGGAGGTCTAATTAGATTTAGCGAAGATCCAACTTTACTGCGATAGCGAATCGCTCGCGTTCCGACGAAATAATGACGATAAAACGTCGTGTGACTTGACAGTCAAACAAAACCGATTTTCTACCATTCTTCTTCTCTCTTTACACCTAAGTCTACAGTGAGTGTCAGTTCGCCGGTCATAACAGTTTCTTACCGTTGGAAAGTTGAATCCTTCGCGAATTGCGAGGGGGAGAACTTCAATCTGTGAGAGGTGAAAAATTAATTCGCGAAGGAGAGAGAGAGAGACTAGAGCGGCACAGGAACGATGACGCGTAAGGTTATTATCTATGTGAAATGAACGTACACCATAGTTCCCGGTTAATTTCGCTGCGAGAGTCCACTTCATTTTGATATTAAACTGAATACCGATGAAAACCGACGTCGACGAGATCCGAATTCAGATCTCCCCCTCGCTGCGGATCAAACGAGCGAGAGAGCGAGCGAACATGCATAAATAATAAAAGCCGGAGTGAGACGATTCCGGAATAACGTAACGCGCGCGCGGTCGATGACGTGGAACAGATGCGCAGCGCTGACGTGCGGCGCAATTAATACGAACTACTGTCCGGTAGATTAAATCGCGCGCTCGCGGGCGCGATCAATCGTTAGATTATCATGAGAGTAAATGGGGCGTATGGACTGTGTAAAAAGTGGCAAAGACGGATGACGGCGTCCCGGGTGGGGAACGCGTGTGAAGGAAGAATCGAGCGGACTTGTATCGTTTCCCCTCCCCCTCTCTCTCTCTCTCTCCCTCTCTTTTAATCGTCGTGTTTAAAAATCAAACATCTGACCGTCCTTCTGCGGCCGTCTGTGAAGTTATCCTTGAAAGTACCGTGTTTTTCTTCGCGTCTGCCGCGGCAAGTTCTTAATGAACGGCAACGGAGGCAACGTTTTGCGAAATTGCTTTCAATATGCCAGGGATACGGCAACGGTACGGAGCGGAGACGGCAATAGAGAGAGAGAGAGAGAGAGAGGGAGATTGGGGGTGAGAGATAGAATAAATTAATACAACTAGGAACTATGTTGTGCCTCTCGGGCAACACACCCACGTTATACATCGCGCGAATGAAACGCGTTGCAGGGAGCGGAGCAAAAATTTCTCTCTCTCTCTCTCTCTCTCCTTTTCTCGTCAGCGGGAGGAAAAACTCCCGGACTCCCGTTACGTTACGGTCGGAGGGCCGTAAGTTAAAATAATTACGAAAAAGTACACCGTGGAGGATAAGCGCCGTATGAGAGTGNGGGGGAGGGCGGGATGGCCGACGGATGAGAAGAAACGAGAAACTCGCGTATGCTCTTAACGCGCGCACGTGGGCGTAAGACGTTTCCGTCAGATGGCTGGAAAATATGAAGGTCATACAGAGTAGAGGGAGCGAGACTGAAAGAAAAAGAATGGTCCTTTTAGCACAATAAGCCATCATAAACGTTGATGATTAAACTGAAAGATACAGCGAGGTCACTCCGCTCGCGGGAGACGACGATGTTTACAGTGTTACTTAGCGCCGAGGGATAGATCTGAATTATACACCTCCTGCAGAGGGTTCCGCTTTTGTATCGGGCTATTATTCGATGCTAAGCCCTTTCCATATACACTCCAGCATCTCTCTGTACAAGATGCGTAAATTAATTCGGTGCTCTCGGTTAGTAAACATCGAGATTTATTTATCAATAGAAGGTGTGCGGTTTTAATTATCGAACTAATCTCTGCTACTGCTAATGACCCTACATCATCTATCAAGCAGCTGTCGAATTCTATCGCGATTGAAACTTGATGGTTTTGAATTAATAAAGTCTTTGACAGATTTTCCGACGTCTCTTATTGATTTGGTATCGAGTGAAACTTCAACATTTCTTGTACACCCCTGGCATAGCTGGACTGAACGTAAGTATGAAGATATTTATTGAAATCCGAATGCAAAACTTTAAATCCGTTTTTTTCGAAATCACACTTTTCAAACTGGCATCCATAATATCTCAAGTATGGTTTCGCCGATCGGCGAAACTTCAAACTTTGAACCGGAATATGAAATATACATATATCTATCGTTTGAACTACAACCAATTTGATTCATTGAAAATATGATTTTTATTGCACTTCATAGACCGAAAAAAACGTAAAAACGCGATGTTTCTCTCCAAAGCTCCGCTATTTTGTTATTTCCGTGTTTTTTGATAGCTGTTCTAATTCAGACGATAGCCACATTCATAGAGAGTAAAATGTTATTTTGTTCATGAAGTGAAGTCGACGCGTTGTCGTGAGGCACACAAGCCTGCTCAAAATCTTCTCGAGACTTCCGCTACTATTTTTTTACAAGTTACATGGCTCATTATGTCTTCTACACGAGCCGAACAGGTCATTTTTGTGACTTCAATAATATTTTTTTTACGGATGAAACACAAAAATAATGCAATGTCGAAAATGAATTTTATCGAGAATAACCGGGTTCGTTATTATTTTTGAAATTATATTAATTATTCTGCGATGTTACGCAGTATTTTGTAAACACAGATGACAACTTTTCAAAATAATAATTTAACGGAATAATATTTAGATTTCATATGCTTATTATAGAAATGAGTAAAACTAAAGGCAAAGAATTAATTGACTCACCGATTAATACAACGATATATCGTTTTATAGAATATAACTGGGTTTTAATAAAATAATTATATATGGAAAGAAAAGTTTGATTGAATTTTTTTTTTTCACAAGCCAAACTCGTTTTGGCTGAGGAAAACGGAAGGTCTGGTTCTTATGAAGCAAACTCTCACAACCAGAGATTTTGTTCTTTAATCAAAACGCGTGTGGTTTATTCATTGTCAGGTAAATTCAACCAAACTCTTTTCTTCCATGTACGATTATGGCCGAATTTTGTTGTAATAAACAAAGAGTTGCTTTTGAAATTAAACGAATACCGAATAATATATCGAATTATATAAATAATGAAAAACAACTCAACAGCTTCAAGTGGAATTAAATTGATTTAAATGCCGACTTCGGCCAAATGCGTACTCAGGAGTCGTCGGGAGCCATCGAATAATTTCACTCGAAGATAAGAACCCAAACATATTTCCTTTTAATATTCCTTTAATAGAAAACTCACACAGCAACAGTTCATATTCATTCGCGATTAAGTCCCCGCTTAAAATCAATCTAGATGAAATTCCGTTTTCACAAACATTCCGTAAGTATCCCTAAAAGAACTTGATTAAAACGAATTTTTTCCATTGGAATTTTTTAAATCCTGCCTCCAGCCCCACGAATTCCATATTGCCTCGCACGTACACACACGTCCATGAGAGAGAAAAAATACTTTCTTCCTTTTTCAAAAATAAACACTAACTCCTCTTTATTGTAAAATCCTGAAATATATACACGCCGGGTGTAAAAAATTAACGCCGCGCTCGAGAAAAATAGAAAGAAAGGAGGAAGACGGCGAATACACCAGAAACAAAGAGAAAAGGGTGAGGGGGCGAGAGTNGGGGGGGGGGGGGAGGGGGGAAGAGAAGGTTCGTTCGCCGTTGCATGCTGTGTATTCATCTTTCCGACGATTTTATGGACACGGTAGGCGCATAGCTGCCCGCGCCGAGGTGCAAGATGAACAGACGGGATAGCACACGCCCGCCGGTGGCACAATGGCCGCCGACGTGTAACGAGAAAACAGGTGGTGTGATATCCGTCTGCCTGGAGAGAATTTCATTTTTACACGGTCATATATTTCGTCGGGGCGGCGACGGCGCGCCTATCGAGCCTCGATCAACGCGTCACTACGGCCTTTTATTATTAACGCGCGTGCAGCGCACTTTTTTTTACTATCTTTATGTCTTTAATCCGCCCGGCGAAGCGGCAGCGGGTGCACGCGAGTTGTTCTTCTCCCTTTTTTACGACCCCCCCACCCCCCTCCCTCCTCCGTGTATAAAAAGAAAGCGTTCCCGCAGATATTGTATGCGTTTAAGGGCTCGTGCGACGACGACGAAACCAGGTGCAGCTAATAAAAGTGTCATTGGCAGCGGCGATACCTGCGCGAGGTTACACTTGGATGGCTAGCGATGATACTCCGAATTCGGGTCGCGTGATGTACGAGGCGACGTTAGGATCGCATGTGAGAGAGACGCGTCTCGAAATATATATATATTGTGTATGTGTGTGTGTGTATGTTCGAAATATCGAAATCGCTTGAAAGCGATATATACTGCGCATATCACTTGACGAGAATTTCGCCGGATATAGCCGTGTTCTGATATCTTTCACTCTTCGCGTTCGTAATCCACTCTCTTTCGTTTCCCGAGTTGACATTTTGATGCCACTTCGACGTTCTTAAGGATAGTTTACTCCTATTCAGGCAACCTAACTGATAAAAATCTATTTCGACGATATTGATACTTGTTAACTTTTCTCTTGCACCTCTAATTCTACAGATGTAATTTTAATGCTATTTTGAATAACCCATAATCTTGACATTAAAACCAGCGGAAACAAAAATTTTTAAGTAAATTAAGAACATATTATTATGTAATATAATAAAACGATTAAGTTACGGGTTGTTGTTAAAATTGAAATTAAACCTGTCTTATTTCTGCTGTCACATATATGTGTGTCGCGGGTCTCTCGTGAGAGATTCTTGCGTCGCGCATCTTTGACACTAGCGGCGAACCTGTTATGATATTCACTTTGCCGTATTTAAGCACGCGCTTTGCGAAAGTTGCACTTTTACATTTCTACCGCGCGCTCACCCTTTCTTTCCGTCCTGTAGCAAGTTGCAGAAGTTAAAATCGTTTATTTTATGAACTTAATAATCCAAATTCTATATTATGTATTCTATAATTTTTTATTTTTATATCTTCTATACTATAAAATTCACTTTTCCTCATTTTTACTACGAAACTTGCCTTTTCACTATTTAAGCGACGCTATCTATCTTTATGAGACGAAGAAACGTTATCAAGAAAATTAAAATGTATCTAAAAAGAACTAGATTAAAAATTAGATTAAAGAGATTAGATTAGAAAAAAAAAATAGATTAAAAATTATATTAGCGAGAAGAAGACTTGAATTTGCCTTTTTTACTCGAGAATCCTAGGATACGCATGTCCGTACGCAAAGGGAATAGTTTTATGTCGTATGAGTTCTTTTCAATTCTACTGTGTCCCCCAGTAGTACAGAAACAGACTGTCAATATAGTTTATCCTGAGGAACATAGTGCACTCTCTTTTTAGCCTTCAATTAAAAAAAATATAAACAGCACACGAAGTGTATAATAAATTAAGACAGAACGTCGATATTTTCCTCGGTTACGAAAATCACTGGGAACTTTTGCCATAAAATTTTCCGTCCGTGTATATTAACACGTTAAATATTGCAATAATCACCGTGGTGACCGGTGAAATTCCATTATTAACGCACATTTCGCTAATTTAGACGCACCGATCCAGCATAGATTCAACATGCGATAAAATAGGAAAATTCCGTGAAAAACTTACCTTTCGGTGGATTGACGTGCAGCGCCGACCTGTACAAGCTCTCCTCGTCCCTCCAGTCGGCGTTCCTCATGAGCGTCTTGGCCGACATGAGGGCGATGAGGGCCGCCGTCGCCAGGAGCACCGCACTGCCGCGCCTCCTCGAGCCGTTTCTCCTCGCCATCCGGTAACAGCCGGAGATCGCGGCGCCGACCGCCAGACAGGCGCCCACGCTCGGCAGGTACAGTATCCTCTCGGCTATCACGAAGCCGACGTAGAAGAAGAGGTTGCTCGCCGGCAGGAAGGGGAACACGAGGAAGCCCAAGGACACGGCGGTGGCCGCGGCGGTCCGCCGGCCGCCGTCGGCGGACGCGCCGCCGTAATTCGGCCTCTTGGCACAATGACAATCACCGAGCGGGCTGTTGTTGTTGTTGTTGGCCGCCCTGCAGCCGTCCGTGTGACAGCCGCCCGTGCGTCTACCGGCGCATACGGGACACCTGGAGGAGGCGGAGCGCGGGTACGCTTGGAGAAGAGCGACCGTCGCCCCGGGCGTAGCCGTCGGCTCCCGGCGACACGGCCGTCGCAGACCGCGCACCGCCCAGCAGACGGCGGTGATCAGGGCGACGTAGAGGCAGGCCGACTCGAGATTCCGCGGGTCCAACGGGCTGGTTATTCGCGGCACGGCGTCCATCGACCAGTCGAAGCTCAGGGTGCTGGGGCACAGCAGCATTCTCGCGCTCGCCGCCGGCAGATAGAGGAACGTGAGGCCGCGCGTCAAGCGCGACGGATGCCTCGCCGTCGGATTGTCCGCGCTGGCGAACTCCGGCCTGATACCGGCGAGCCGGATCCGGCCCAGCGCGAGCAACGCAAGACCGCCGGTGAGAATGCCGACGCTGCGGCCCCGGGTGAATCCGCAGTTGCCCTGAAATCCAAACGCGGCCGTGACATTACTTGGTACGGATGCCGTCGTCGACACGACGCTCACATACGGCAAAAAGCGATTCCCCTCCCTCCGGGGAGCAAATTTTCAAGTGTGAAAATTTCAACACTCGGATATTCAAATATTCGTATTACATTTCAAACGAAAGGCTCATATCTAACTCTGAATTCAAATTTTATGATCTGCTTTCAAAGAAATTTAACGATCGTAGTTCAATTCGATTGAGGTAAATGTATGCGTGTAGTGGGGTAAGAATGAATTTTTCGCGCGATGGACTCGTGGTTTTATAAATTCACAAATACTCGGGCCACAAAATACGCAACGATATTTTCGTCGCGATAAAGCGAACGGCGTTGTAGATTTGAAATATGTGACTGAGATATAATGTACGCGTACGTATATTAACATTGCGACACATACACACACACACACATGCACGCACGTTGTTCGCAGGTGCAGAAATAATAAAAATACCGCGAAAATGCATTACGATGTATCGCGAGAAATATGATATCCTGTAATAACGCGACGGTATTCCCGTTGTCAGTTCATTGGATACACGTGGTGATCCATACGATGCCACGACACTCTTTTTTTCTCTCTCCACGAGCAAACAGAAAGGGAAAAGGGGGTGGATTGGAAGTATGAAAGCTTTCACAGTCGGCGGCGGTGTTTGCCTCGGTGAATGCGGCATCGCATCCGACCGGAAGGTAGTTTCAGTCGAATGGAAAGGAGAAAATCGTTTGTCCGACGAATCAGCGAACAAAGATATATCCCGCTGTACATTGTGCGTGTTGACGAAACGCGAGGGGATAACGGTGAAAGACGCTTCGCCACGTCCTTCGTTATTCGCGCGCGGAATATCGCGGAAAAACTCGCAGCGCCTGATTTCAATCGGCGCACTTACGGAGTTTCGCGTGACTGTGATGCGAAAGCAATCAACCAGTTAAAGAGAGAGAGAGAGAGAGAGAGAGAGAGCAATTATAATTTTTATCGATAGTATTATTTGAATTTTTGGGAATGCACAGTAAAGCAATATAATTGTAATGATGAAATATGAAAATTATTAATTCCTTATTCGATTCAATTCTATTGATTAAATTAATTAATTTTATTAATTAAATTAAATGAGGTAAAATTCTTGTAATTAATTATGAAAATTATCAATTCTTAATTAGCAATTTCTATATAAGCGGAGTAAGAATAAGTAAAAGATTTATATATATATTGCATAAACGGGATTATATTGAAACTATACGAAATTCTCGGGGCTTCTTAATGAAATTTCCCTATCGCGGTAACCGCGGCCGGGGAACGCGACTTGAAAGTTACACAGACAGCCGGAGATCGGGTAGAAATAATAGTTTGCGGTGAATTTATAATTCACGTTAAGCACGATTACGCTTTTCACCGAGCTCGCAGCGCGCCGCGGCTCGAGACACTCGTCTCATGTCCGCGACGACTGCGGAACGGGAACTGGCGCAAAGTGCGCTGCAAGTTCGTTAAAAAAGTTAGCTGACACGAAATTGAATGCCACGTCGTGCTTAAGGACGGTGTCGCACGTTTTACCGCGCATCGCTTCCGGTGCGCCTTATTATCTCGCATTACGGTCGCCTCGTTCCCCCCTCCCCCTCCCCCTCCCGCCCCTCTGCCATTCCCGTCATTCCGCTTTCTATTATTTCGACATTTTTTTCCGCCGCGGCTTTGAACGCGCGAGACAACAACGAAACGTTCCGCCGGGAGATTCGCCAAGGCGTGACCGTGAATAGTTAAAAACTCGCTTTAATAAACGAACGATACGTCGCGCGCCTCGTACAAACTTCCGACGAAGTTCGTTACAACCGTAAGATGTAATTTTCCGAGCGATGCGAGAGAGCGGGTTACGACGACGGGGCCGGCTGCATCCGCGCGCGCGCGCGCGCCGGCTCCGTAACCGCTAATTCCGGAGCGAAACTTTTGCTATAAAGACTTCCTGTGACAGCGACAATTATCCGTATTACGTACAATAAGGCGCTCTGTATGTTTCGCAAAGTCTGTGCGCGCGGAGCGAAATTATAATTAACGTCATGCGGCTAATGTTAATCCGTGCGGCGACGACCGTCGCTGGGAAAATCGTCGGGCTTAAACGGCCTGGAAATTTTACAGCGACCGGCTTTTTCCTTCTTACTATCCGTAGGATCGATCGGTAACCCCGGCAGCCGTACGGGATGCGTCAGGTCGAAGCGAATCTTCTCTCGACTTGTCTCCCGCGACGATAGATACATTTATTAAGTCACGCGAAACGTGTGCGAAGTTCGGCATTCCCGAGTCGAAATTTCAATGCCGCTTCCGGGCCTTTGAAACAGCCAAAAAATCGACTTACGTTACGCGAAGTGGCCATTAACGGAATCTTAATCTACCTAAGCTCCTGCGATGTTGTGAAAATTAAACATTATATTTGTGTGAAAATTAAGAGTTATTTAGGATCGAAGGTTTAACGCAGGGGGCGAAATTTCGGATTCGTATAAGCCGCTCTTTGGCTTACGTTCAACGTCGCGCGCGCGTCCAGAGTGTCAGGTCTTAATTGTTCAAAAACGTCGAGCGGGTACTTAGATCCTCGGGCAATCGGGGGCGTCTCGATAATCCGAATACGTTCTTGCATTGGGATACAACCCGCGGAATTAGCCCGTGGATTACCGCGGATGCGCCGTAATTGCCGTAACTCCATCACTTGTATCCGTGGCTTCTCCGTCCGCCGCAACGATATTGTTTTATCTTCGATAAAATGGAGCCAGCGGAGCGTCGGAAATGAAACAAACGTCACGGAACGGGATTTAACGGTGATATATCACGATATTTCACCGAGGAGGAGGAGAGATATCCACCCACGCGCGTCCGTCCCGTCGAGCAAGTCGATAATCTGAAAACCAGATTTCCTCCAATTATCTCGCGATCGCCGAGCGGACAGCTCGATCTCGTAACCTAATAAATTCCGCGCTTTTCGGCTCCGTTCCGGCCGCGGGTTCTCCATCTGCCGAACGTCACGTCTCGTTTGTCTCCCGGTCACTCGCCAACGGCTTCCGTCGATTCGCGCATATTTCCGCGCGGCCGGACAAAGCCCGGAAAACGGAAACGACGACGACGTTGCTGCGTCGTCGTCGTCGGTGACGTTTCCCGAATTGACGACGTAATAGACTGAATAATAAGAAAACGCAGCACGGGACAACGTCCGCAGATCGTAACTCCGAAGTATCTCCGATCTCGAATTTCCCGTCGGCCCGTCGGCACCGTTAACCCGCTCGGGCTCGGCCGCAGCACGCTGCGGCTGGGAAACATTGCGAGCGGTTTACACTTGGTTGACTCGGCGGAGGCAGCGGGGGAGATGCGGGGAGATGCCGCAGAGCGATGCAGTCGATGGGGAGTGCGAAGAAGAGACGGAAGTATAAGAAGAAGAGAAATATGACGACGGGAGGGAAAAGGGGGAGAGGCGCGCGGAGGCCTCGCGGCACTCGCGGAGGGGCGTCGGAAAATGCGAACGATCCTTTTGGCACCCCTCCAACCCGGCGCGGATAGAGGGGTAGATAGTGTGCGACGGATGGGGGGGGGGTGCGCGTCATGCATCACGCGAGGCGTCCGGTGCATCCAGCGCGCAACCGGATGCGCGAAAGGAGACTCGGCAAACGGAGACTCCGGAGGGTAGCAAAGAGGACGAAAGGACAGAGGGTGCCTGAAGGAGGAGGCTCGAGGAGGATGGCGGCTCACCGTGCATCAGGCCGCTGTCTTCGCCAGGATGCGCAAGCGGGATGCACCGCGCCGCAACAGCGCGTTATCGGTTACACGCTCGTCCGCGCGTGTGCGCGAACAAATACGCGTACGCGCGGGCTGCTGCATACGTTGTTTCCTTGTCGAAACTTTCACGCTCTCTCGGCGCTGCGATACGAGAGAGTACGCGAGGAGAATAAGCGGACGCCCCCCGTGCGCGAGATCTCGTCTCACCGCTACGAAAATCGCGGCGATATCCGCGCAGAAATGAGAGGATAACCGGCCGGCCGATCGTTCACCGAAATCGGTGAATTTGCGATCTACGCGGGGAAAAATGTTACGGGGGACAGCGAATTTTACGCTGTAACGGCGAATAATTACATATACAGGGTGTTCCTCAAGTGATGTCCAATATTTCAGAAGTTGACTTTTGAGGTAATTTTAGGGAAGGAAAGTTCATGCGAACTATGTTGTGAATTTTTCTCCGTAAGATGACCGGAAAAATTAAAACTCATACAATACTGGGCAGTACTTAAGGAACATTCTACATATTTATTGTGTCGCTAGACGAGATTCCATTTCTGCTACAAATTCGGCAGCGATCGAAAATAAAGAGAAAAAAGAGATGTAAAATCTCGTTGGATTAACACTCGCGCGCGCGTGTTGTGTGTGTGTGTGTATAAATCTGGTGGAGGAATATCGAAGAGAAAAATTAACAGAGTCCGTAAATTGAAAGAGTGTTCTTCGGGTTGCGACCTCGAGTCCGCGGCAAGCCCGATGAATTATGGTTTTAAAATCGCTTCTCGTTCCGACCGGTTTAATTTGATTCAGTGACCCTCGGCTCTTTACGGCTGAAAAACAAATGAAAGACCTCGAGCGCTATTACCGGAAACGGTTATTATCGTGTCAACCTACCTTTCGACTTGGCTCGCCGCGGCAGAGCTCCCAGAGAAGGCAAAGAGCCAGGGACGATATGCCCGTTTCTTTGGCGAAGGTAGCCAACGTCGACGACACCAGGGCCAGCAGCAGAGGAAATGGCGATCTGGCGCGATTACAATGGGCCGAGTACGTCAGGAAAGATGTCAAGGTCAGGAAGCAGGCAAGAAGGTCGGCACGTCCGACTATACCGGCCACAGCCTCACTGTGAATGGGATGGACCGCAAACAGGAAACCCGTGATCGCGTGCGCGAGATTGCTCCTTCCTGGCAGGACCTGTGGAGTGTAATTGCGGATATCTCGTAAGGTACACATGTAAACGTCTCGCGAGGCAATCCTTCAAGTGACGTGGGGGAAGGGGGGGGGGTAATTAACTCCGCCGTTAATTAACTGTACTCCGCTACTCCCAGAACCGCTCGATCCAAATTTCAATTTAATCGCTCGTGGAGCATGCCGCGAGCATGCGAGCGATCCTCAAGTACCGCTCGGAATTACGGCGGACTTTGATTGTGATCTGTGAATTGTGCGAATTCTTCCGAAACATCCGAATCGGAGCGTCTCATAATGGCTGTGATTTATTTTAATGCAATGCATAACTAAGGTATGTTAAAATATTGGAATATTAAAATATAATGTATCAGAGGATATTATATAAAGTGTTATCATTTATTGCGCACGATATAGTGTATAGTTTTTATATAATATAATGAAATATAAAATTATAATTTTATAATATCCCGATGTTATAATGTAAATGAGAAGGTGCTATTAGTCCCTCATTTACATTTTGTAGAATAACTTTGTTAATAATCGATATTTTAAATTGAGAACTTATAGCGATTATATTTGTCAACGTGTTGGTCAACAAATTCTAGACTCAAAGTTGTGAGATATTTACTTCGAGCGTTATTTATAAAAATTAACATTACACAATAAGTCAAAGAGAAACAGAGGTGGTAATGTGACCTCTTATTAAGATAGATTAAAAAAATTGATTTTGTTTCAAAAAAGCACAATGTTTTGCTGCAAATTTATATATTTATTCAAAATAAACTCTTTTATAGAGAAAAAATATAATCATGAATTTTTAACATAGATACTAACTTGCTCGTCAGAAGATAAATACACATTATCAAAAGGATAAAACGCAGCTAGTCTTTTAAACTTAACTTGAATTATCGACTTATCGAATAACTATTTCGATATGAAAACCTCAAAAAAAGCCGCATTAAATCTATTTTAATGAGGGATCAAAATATCATAAAATTGTTTAACTTTGCATAATTCGAAATATGTACAGCGGAATATTAAATAACGAACAAAACACTTAAGTATATATATATATGGAATTATAAAATATGTGTCAGAATATATTAGACGAAAAAGGAATACAACGACAGAAAGAATCACGTGTGACGACGGTAAAGAGATCTACGGGATTTCCGGGAGGTTCGAGAAACACGGCTAAGACATCCGAGTGAAAATATAAAAGGAACGTCAGGTATGTAAAAATGTGGAGGAGCACAATTCGTAGTTTTATGCGCGAGACTCGGTAATCGCCGGTTGCGGGAGTATTCGAAAATTATACGATCCGATGCACATTTGCAATAAGAGGGGAATACGGGCGAACGTCGGGCGGAATTTCGAGCAGGAGAATTGTAAAAGGGTCGTATATTTTTTCAGAGCGACATTCTGAAAATGCGCACGAGGAAAATCGAGGACGCGCGCGACGGTTCGGCGGCGGCGGAGAAACCGATCNGGGGGGGGGGGGGGAGGAGGACGTCGACCACGAACGAGTGCGCGAAAGATATTAACGACACACGTAACTCAAAAACATGCCGCTCAGATAAGAGAGAGAGGGAGAGAGAGAGAGAGAGAGAGAGAGAGGGAAGTACCCTCATTAATACACTTAGACTGAGTTAATTAGTGTGACAGTTTCATTACTCGGGCAAAGTGCTGCGTGTATTAAATTAACGCGGGGGTTCCTCATACTTGCCCGGCTTCTCGCGCCCATAATAACCGAGCGCTAAAGCGATTTGAGTTGCTAATGAACTTATAAAACGGTATGCAACTTTGATATTACTGTTTATTTTCACTCGTCGGTGCCGACGAGAAATGCGTTAAGGATTTTCACGCGGAGAATCTCCGCGTCGCTGTATGTAGCCGCCGCCTGTCGCCGGGGGTCCGCCGCCGCCTCTGTATATTACGTTTCCCGTCTAGCGTGACGACTTCTCGCTGTTAAATTTCCTCCGAGCCTTATTCAAAGACTTCTTGCCCCGCTACTTTTTGATTTATCTCCCGTTCTGTTCTTTTCGAAACTTATCCAAAGCCACGGTAATTAAATCTCGCTTCATTCGCGACACGCGCTATTAACTTTTATTTCAAACCCGGCGCAGAAAATATAATTAAACCCGATTCCCCGTCCTCCCCTACTTCGGCGCGCGTGTACAATTACATTTATTTTATTCGATTCGGCGACGGATGCGTAATTAAATTTGATTTAAATTAGCGCAGTTATATAATTGATCGTCGTGTCGCGTGTCGTTCGTCAAGCATACGTAATTAAATTGTGACCGCCGTGGCTACTTGCACACATCTAAGTCAAATACCCGGCCAAGTTTAAATATACCCTGCTGGCCGAAAGAGGCGATGTAAAATCGAAACCCCGGGTGATAGGGTCCTCTCTCTTTCTCTCTCTCTCTCTCTCAGGCGCTCTTTTGATCCTCTCAAACGTATCCGGAAGTTCTATTTGAGATTTTCGCGTGCAGTTACGCCGAAATCTCCATATCACAGTTCCATCTCGTGCAAGCTCCGTGATGGAGCTTTAGAGGGGGAACCCGCGCCAACTAAAATGAAGCGGCGTCGTAAAATTAAAACCGCAATAGGCTTATGTCGAAGTTAAACTGTCTCTCTCTCTCTCTCTCTCTCTCTCTCTCTCTCTCTCTCTCTTCACTCAAGAATAAAACAAAAAAGATCCCCGCGGTCTTATTTTGAATATAAAACGAACCTGATTAATAATTAGACGGATTCATAATGTGACTTTTACTTGCGAACCACCGCGCATCTCCCCTCCCGTCTTCCCCTCCGCCACAGAGCCGCGCAAATTAACGTCCCGGTAAAGGCCACGACGCGCGAGCACCGTGATATAATTGATGGAAGGTGAATTATTAAGTCGACTGACGGTATTTATCAGACCAGAATTATGATTAATCGACGGTCACGCTCTCTCACACACCGAACGAGCGATATCGGTGGTGTAGGTGAAAAAAAAAAAAATGGGGAAAACACGACGGTGGGAATAAAATCATTTGACGATTGGTTGGCCATTTTTTTTTCATTATTAAACTTGGGAAAGCGTCCATCCGCCATCGAGGCGAGCGCATTCCGGGCTTTAACGTTAATCCGGCATGGTAATCCGCCGACCTGCTGCTGAACCGGATGAGAAATACAACGCGTTAATGATAATATTCCGGCATTGAGCGGGCTTTTACGATTTTATTCCCGGACGGTCATTATGGCGCAGGATATTATCCAAAATTCCCACGTGTGACATGGGCTCCACAGGTGTCACCATTATTTTCTTTCCGTCGAGACGACGTCAAATCAACGTATGCTATTGAAAGACATTACTACGACGACGTGATGTCGTGAAAATGTTACTTTAGTCCCTGATCTCCCATATAGTTACAAATACCAAACATTTTTCTCTCAGTGTGTACAACGTATATCAAGAACAACGCCAGCATCGATAAGGAACACTTCCATGTGTATGTGCGCTCCGTTATGAATTAAAAATTCCTCAATTGCGGTGACAATTCCGTATGCGTGCGCGTTCATAAATGATCGCGCGTGTTCGTTGCATATCGCAGGGTGAAATCTCCGAGCTCATGTGGACGCGGAGTTGCTCACCTTTCTGGCGACCCTGACCACGAGGACGGTGCAGCCGGCGTGCAGCGCTACGTTCACCAGATGATAGCCCCAGGGTTCAAGGCCACCCAGAAAATGATTCAAGCGGAAGGTGGCCACGCAGAGCGGCCGGTAGCTACCGTGCGAGCCACGTTCCGTCAGCGGCGTTCCCCAGAAGTCATTCTCGAGCAGCCGGTACCAAGGCGTGCTCGCCAGCAGGTCAGGGTTCGTCAGGATGGCTCTCCTGCAACATTAAGACGATAGTCTCGAATTATACATCAGATTAAACACCTTCGGCTATGTGTGTGTGTGTGTGAGAGAGAGAGAGAGAGAAGGAGAGAAACGCTAATAACTTTCTGTTACACAGACGTATACAAGAGCGAATGTTGTATGCGAGCACACGAGACATTGCTTTCCCTCGTATCAATGCAAAGCCTTGTTTCACAAGGCGGAAAATAGCCGTTGCAATTCGTGGAAGCTAATTTTTCGCTATGACAGCTAGTGTCTATCTGCGGGAGCTACTTCTTTCCTTTTTTCTTCGTGTGCATATACATACATGATGATTAAAGACTTTTCCGAATTATTATAGTTCCCCCCCGGTCGGACACCGAGGACGGTCGGAAAGCCGCGGAAGCTGATACGCAATTCGAATTTGCGCGGATTATTTAGTCGGGCGCGATTCAATGCGGCAAACAATGAAACCGGTTATAGGAACGGCAAAAATTAGCGAAATCAGTCTTTTTAACGCGCGGTGATTCGCGCGTAATTTAATCAGGCTGTAATAACGTAACCTCATGCCGGGGTTACATCCGCGAAAGCGTGTTAAACGCCGAAACGTCGATTTGTTATTACACACAACGCAATTCGACCCGCGGCGGTTAAAATAAAATAAGCCGTTTCAATTTTGGCCTACTCGACGGCACTGTCGTGTAATTTAATACGGGACTTTCAACATTTCGGTCAGTTCATTGCGTTAACCGCATCAACCGAGATCCTCGGGCCGAATGCCAGCGACAAATCATTCGGTGGCATTTAATAAACCATTTTTATCTCGCGTCCGTGAATTAATTACTCGGACACGGACACACTCGCACGCCTGTATTAGTTGGCAGAAACAATTCTCGCTTGTTATCGATCGGTCGTTCGCCTATCAGCGTGTAAATATCGTCGCATCGACGCATTTAAATCCCACGCGTGCGCGCGACAGAGTTCTCCTCTCTCTCTCTCTCTCTCTCTCTTTCTCCCGTGGGGATAAAATCGAAAATTAATTTAAAAATATCACATTTATTTGACAGAATGTTTAATTAAATAGGGTTTACGTCATACTATTTCACCGTTTTAATATAAAATGTTACTTTTTAAACACACGAGCGAGTGTGAGCGAGCGAGCGGAAATGTGCGCGGAAAATCGAATAAATTGTACAGTTGCGCAAAACGTCGAAATTCCATTCTCGGAAGTTGCGAAAAGTCCCCGAGTTTCTTCGAAGTTTCTTCGATTCGTCCCGAGTTTCCTTGACATTCCGTGTACACGCACGTGTATATCAATCAATTCCCGAAGATCTCTGACCGCCCCTCTCTCTCTCTCTCTCTCTCTCTTTCTTTCTTTTTCTCTCAGAGAGAACGAAATTCTGGGATTCGCATTTTCGCCAATTGCAAAGCACACAAACTCACCTCACGGGAACGAACGGGGGGAACTGAGGATAACGCAATTAGTCGGACGTTGCGCTCTCATACGAGCGCGGCCGCTCGTTATTATCGCCTACTTTGCCGGCGAAGCAATCGTACGTGCTCGAGCGTCGCGTGAAGATCACACACACACACACACACACACACACACACACACACACACGAGTCGTGATAGTGTTCGCCGGCCTACGAAAACGGTTACGACGGCGATAGCGTTCCGGCGAAACGGCCTTATCGCCCGACCTTATATCGCTCGCGCTCGCACGGCTGGTTCTCTCACGGCTACATATGTATATTTCTACGTGTAAGAACTGCAAAGTGCATTTCGAGCACTTCATGAACTTAAGAGCGCCGACGGGCGAGCATCGTCCGCGTGAAAAAGCTGCCGGAACGAGAACGACGTAGTCGCCCCTGAGGATCGCAATGGCGCCGTTTACCTGCCGGCCCGATGTTGTCTCTTTATCGCCTTGAATGGAGAAGCTATCGGTGTACACGCGGTTGTCCCGAGTTAATGCGTAATTTAAAATGTCCCGACCGCCTTATTTCGTCAATAAAGGAGAAAGAACTAGAGACAGAGAAGGCGAGAGAGAGAGAGAGGGAGAGAGGGAAAAGAACGACAACAACGGGAAGGATCTCGGTGAATCGCGCGCGTCAGGTTTCTTTGTGACAGAAGCACTCCGGACAACGTTAATACGGCCGATTGTATGGCAATAAGTGGAAATAACGCGTGTAAATAAAAGCAGGACAAACGATTTCAGCGGGGAAACGCACGCGTAAAAGGAGTTATTCCGAGATAGTAACATAGAGAGAGAGAGAGAGAGAGAAAGAGAGAAAGAAAGAGAGCGCACCCTTTTCATCCTTTATAGCGAGCGATAAAATTGCCGGATCGATGACAGTTATCGAGTATGGTTTATAAGGCAATCGGCACGCGACGCTGTGAACGACTTATCGCTCTTACATTACATTTCCAATTATATGCGTCTCATCGCTGTAAATAAAAGATATGAAGGAATAATAAACAATTGTCTTCACATAAAGCTACAGATTTAAGAAAATTTATATTTTCTCAATTGAAAGAATTTTTCTCAGTCTAAAAATAGGCAAAATAAAAATAGGTCTATTGGTATTATTTATTATTGGTATCATTTTTTATTCGTACTATTAGTAAATGTATTATTAGTGCTCATCGAATATTTCATATTAAACACATTTTTTCTCTCAATGTATGTATTATTCTTTTTATATTAATTTGCATTATTATTTTATATTTTTCTTTCAGAAACGAAGAAACAGCGCGCATTAATACGGACTGTAAAACTGATGTTACGCCTTTTAGTCGCGGTATATACATGTAATTTGCAGGATAAACGTAAGCTTGTCTGGTATACGTCGCGATTGTTATGCGTCCGATAAAGCAAATATATTATTATTATTACTATTAATTTCGAAAGTGGAATTTAACAGGATTTTAAATCGGCTTAGCTACTCATTCGATATGTTATATTGAATATTGAAAAGTCGCCACGTAAATAATGTCCTTCCCCGACATTTTTGCTAAAAAAATAATTGTCAAATTTCCACAAAGAATATAATAATATACTAATAAAAAAAAATGTTACATATATATGTATACACAGAGAAAATATTGTAGCAAAAATTATCACAAAATTTTGTAATGCTAGACCGGAATTATGACTGAAATTATTGTGTATGCGTAATCTTTAGTAATGTATATAATGAAATACATCACTGAAGATTACATACATCATAATTTCAACTATAATTCCGGTTTTAGTCCAACATTACAAAATTTGGTAGCAATTTTTACCACAATATTTTCTCCGTGTATACACATATAGTAATAAATCATGCAAATAATTAGCACGAAAATAGTTTGCAGGTAATATGCAGTTACTTGGAATACTCTTTTCGAGATTATCCGCCGGCCTCTGTAAAAATCATAAAAGCAGATATGCAAAGAGAGGGTTTCCTATCACGAGTGTGCTTTTGCCATGAGGAATTCTTTTTTATTCGCTCGCGAGAGGACATAATTGAACGCTTATACAGCGCAAATCCGTTTGTACTTCAAAGAAACGAGGAAGATTACCGCAACCGTTCCGTGCGGCTCTCGCGAAATGAATAAAGCTAAAAGATAACATTTCGCGTTGCACGGATGGACCATGGCTAAATACATTTGTACCTGGTGGAAATTTTCGTTTTTCTCGGCCTTAACTATACCCATTTTTTATTTGAACCCTAAGAAAAGTAGCAACAATATGCATTATAAGTTTATTTTTGATGATGTTACTGTAACACTTATAAGAAAAACGGCTTTCTTGACTACAATTCTTTCACTATGGTTTATATCTCTGATATTATAGTTACAAACACCAATGACTTTCCAATCAGTGCAAAGTGGAAAGAGGACACCCGTCATCCTGAATCACTTTTACTCGTCTCTCAACAGATTCTCCTTCGCACGTGCGCGCACCTCGCAAATTATATTCCACGTGATACGCGCGTTCAATAATCCGTTATTTTCGCCATCGCTTTCGTTCAATTAACGTGCCGCCGCGAACGCTGTAAAAAGATTTGTAAAAAGTATCACGCTATCACGTTACGCCTCGTCGAACTTTTTCTTCCCGTCGAATCGCATTGACGGTCCCTCGCGTACGAACGGGGCGTTCTAATCGACGGCCGATCAATATTCATGGGTATCGATGAGCTCGATGTTTCGGTTCGTCTCCAGATTCCGATACCAGAAGCTCCACAAATCCACCCACTCATCTACACAAACCCGCACATACACATACACACACATACATACAGCCAATCGGGCTGTTGGAAAAAGCGGGACGTAGCCACTGTTAATTTTCCGTCGAACAATTTTGAGCACTCCGCTACCTCCGACAAGCCGTTCCTAAGTAATACTTTTTTTTCCCTTTCTTCTATCATATCGTCGCCCGTAGTTTGACGAAACTACGGGCACTTTTAGATTCCACAGTCCCCCGGAAAATACATCGCGCGAACGTCACGCTCATTTCGTTTTCAATTTCACCCGGCAAATTTTCCGTGAAATTCGACGAGTGTTATTCCTTCGTCGAAATACCGAACGATGAAGTCGTTACTCCGACGAGCGTTTCGGAGACGTACCTTCGAAAATTTCCCTTTGTTTGTTTGCTCCTCTCGCCTGAAACTCGAGCGCAACGCGGTCTCGTAATGAACAATTGCGAAATTATCACGGTAATAATGACACGGTAGCAATTTGTAAACAATTGAAGTGATTTCACGACGGAAATATCGTCCGCATTTAAAGGCCGTATTCTACACACATTTTGATTCGGCGTATGAAAAAGTTATCCGTGCACTGCACTTCATCGCGATATACTATTCATTCGCAATTAGAGATGCTATTAATCATCGAAATTATGTGAAATCATCGAAATGCGATAACGGGAGCATAATGAACGCGCACATTATTGAGACAAAGTTCCTCATTAGATCGATCAAACCGGCATTTAAATATTTAGACATCACGATGTACACCCGAATATTTAT